GGCCCGTTGGAAGCGCTGGGCAGACAGAACAGCTAGACTGTTATTGTGTATATATTGTGCCCAAATAATACATTAGTTATCGAATAGGCTGCTCAATCACACCTTATTCGATCCTAAATTTCAATCTGATTGAAAGGGGAGGTTTATTAATTTCATAATCCAATATAGAGAAGAGAACATAAACACTTGATCGAATTGAAAACCGAAACTGAAAACACGGCGCATATGTGCAATGATTTGAGGACGAGCTCCCCCCGGCCCTGAATTGTCAAAAGACCTCTCAAAATGCTGGCTCTGGATGCGAAAAACGCAGAAAATCGAAACCGATCCGATTAATTTTATGACGGACGAAAGTTTCGGAGGCGGTGTGCAAGCGTGACTGACATAACGTGAGGTCGAATTTTTTTTTTAACGTGCGAAAATTTCGGATGCGAATTTCGGACTCGGTGTGCAATGGCCTTAAGGGTCAGGCAATAAAACTAGCATCCCAGCCTAGACAAATCCTTTAGTCATGTCATGACATTGAATTGACACCAAGTGAAGGAGAAAAAACAAAACAAAAAACGGTGTGGTCGCAGTAGACATGTTTTCAAAATGGGTTGAAGCAATGCCAACAAAACACCCAGACAGCAAAGGGGTGGCTAAACTTCTATTACAAGAAATTGTTCCCAGGTGAGGAATACCAGGTAAAATTTCCAGTGATAATGGAACACATGAAGAAACAAATTTTTCATGGACAAAAGCACTGCCAATAGCACTCACATACATGAATGAGAATGAGATGAAGAGGGAGAGTTAATCTCTCCCCATTTGAAATCCTTTTTGGGAGACCACCACATATGGGCTGGGAGTCACATGATCAAAGAACATTGCCTGATACTGCTCTGTGTGAAAAAGAGATGCTGAACTATTGTGTTGAACTGGACAAGGTTTTTCTCTGATATATCTTGACAGGTAAAAGCAGCTGTACCGGAGTTGGCAGATGGACCTCTGCATTCCATCCGGCCTGGTGATTTCGTGGTCATCAAGGTAGAGGTCTTCACAGTGCACCCGAGACCCGTCGGCCCCGGACCCGACCCGGGACCCGTACGGGTTCGGGTCTATATTTTAAATGAGCAGCCGGGTCCGGGTCGGGTCCGAATCAATTACTTCGGGTCCCGGGTCTGTTTAACATTGTGTGTAATACCAACGCATTCTCATCCTTTAGCGTCATATAGGACTCGCTGTATAACAAAACGGCGAAATACTACTCACATGGCACCCGTTATCGTTAATATAACACGCGCTGAGAACGGGCTGGTAATACACGTGCGATTGGAGCGATTGGAGTGCAATCTCAAGCGCGTGTCATGTTTCTATGGCAACCAGAGCAGAGCTTCCGCCAAACCGCTTTGCATTTTCTCCAATGTTTATAATAATATAAATGAACCGTCTTGTTTAATCTTAAAGTTTTGGTGGTCAGATTCAGACTCAATGAAGAGCAGAGAGCACAGATATGATCAAGCTGAACTTGCAATCGTTATTATAGTTCAAAAGGGCAAACAGTTAAAGTTATTATGCGAGTTAACTCGAGTCAGAATGTGCATGTGTGCAAGGCTGCATTTGTCATCCATCACCGTGACATCAAGTGGACTTTTAAAGCTGAAATAATGAGTGGATTAAGCTTGGAATAACGAGAGAAATAACATGGATAGAACTTTCTTGTCGGTGGCTTGCAATGCATCACAGTCAGTCAGATAACGTCAGGAAGTGAGACGACGGCTACTAAAATTAGGTAAGACAAAAAGTTTTATTTTTCGCAACTCGTGTGAAATAATATGTGACAATCGGGTCCAGTCGGGTTTGTGTCTTCCTGCCGGGTTCGGGTCCAGTTTTCAAATAATAGACGGGTCCAGGTCGGGTCCGGGCAGTACATTTATGACATTTCTCGGGTCTGCACGGGTCCGGGTCCAACTTTTGAAATTAACGACGGGTCCGGGTCGGTTCGGTGTAGCACATTACGGGTCTCTTCCGGGTCGGGCATGAATTTTTGGACCCGTGAAGACCTCTACATCAAGGACTTTCGAAGGAAGCACTGGAAACAGAAGAGGTGGCAAGGGCCATACCAGGTGCTAATGGTCACTCACACTGCCGTGGAGGTCGCAGAGAAGGTGCCATGGATCAATGGGACGCACTGTCGAAAAGTGCCGGAGCCATTAACGGGAGAGCCATCCCACACACAGCCAGAGAGTTTGCGTATTCAAAGCAATTAGCTTGGGGCTGTTCAGTTGCTAACTTTTCAATCCAGCACTACAGCCATTGGTCAAAAGACGAAGAACTGTGTTCAAACGATTCAAGCATATTAGGAGTGGTGACGCACGCAAAATAACTTTATTCATTTGACGGTGAAGGACAAGCGGTAACGTTTTTTTAAGCATAACGACCCGACCAGGACTCAGACCTTTGATCTATATAAGAACTGGGACATTTGATTTTGAACAAAGAACATTTCTTGGCCTGGCATGGTAATACTAGGTTGCAATGTGTTATTAAAAGTTATTCTTTTAATTAGTAGGTGCATCCAGGTATTTGGAGCGTCTTTCTCCTTTATCTCTGTACAGATATAACGTTGTCAAAAAAGTTCCGGTTCACATTGCTACTCGGAAGCGATGTATAATTCTGTGAATAAACGGAATATAATTTTAAATTGTCGACTGTAGATGCTTGGGTGTCGACTGGAGACGCACCAGGCAGGCACGGATTAACGCACGGGCCTATTGAGCACTATTGGGCCCTGTCAAATTTATAATTTTTTCAGTAAAATTGTGTTGAATATTGTGTTTTTTCAGTTGCAAAATATGAACTGAAAAATAAATTATTTTAATTTTGTGCTGCATTGTTAAGAGGAACATCTAAAGAGGCGAGTGAAAATCATTGCGTGGGCTAATGTGGCTAATATAAAGGGCGGTACCCACCATTGAAGGTTCTGAGGGACAGGCCACTGTAATTTTTCTGTGTAGGCTATATAATGAAGGTCGTGAAATAATTGGCATGATTCACACATCACGTTCGCGAGTCGCGATGAGAACTGACATTCTCATCTGAGCAGCATCAGAACTCAAACACTGAGTGACCAGATGACCAATCACATCACCGTTGGTAGGCTTTATGTTCACAGGAGCGATAGACGAGCGCGAATCGCACTGGAATTAACTTAACGGGCATAACGTTACAGTGCGAGATAAGAGGCTAAACAGCTGTTTTAAGATTACCGACCGACAGAAATAATGAGTTTGCAGACTATAACAATCAAAGCTCAGTTTTGGGAAGGGAAGATAGGTAAGAGAAATGGACTAAGAGAAGAAAGAGAGAAGGAGAGGGAGATGAGAGGAACAGCAGGTAGGCAACTGTGCCCAGAATGAATTCATAAGAATTAGGCAAAAATAACTAAATATATTGTCGCAAAATGTGGTGAAGGGAGGACATCCGTGATTACGCAATTTTACAGAGAATAAATTATTTAGGGGTTCAAGCACGAAGTGCTGAAACCCTATTGTTATCGTTAATTTTCCCATGATGCAACATTCACCAAATAAAACTGATTGGGCAGAACAAACCAGTCGTAGAGACTTGAAACTTTGGGGGCTGGTAGTACTCACACCGCCTACGACATCACCAAGGCCCGCCCGATCGGCCTGACGGGTACGAACGGCTCATAACTCCTCAACCATTAGGTGTAGGCTCAAGTGTCTTACATCGCTGGAATTCTTGGCTCAAGCCGGAAAATATGCATTTGGATTGGCTCCCCCTTCAGGCGCCAATTTTGAGTAAATTGCATTTTTTTGAAAAACCTACTTTTGCGAACTACTCCTAGGTTTTTGGTCCGATCTGAACCAAATCACTGCAGAAATATTTTCTAAAGTCTGACAGTTCAGACAGTTAAAAAACTCAAAATTTCAATTGTCGGTTGCTAAGGGCAACCAAAATGTTTTTTGATTCACAAACTTTGATCAACTCACAAACTTTGATCAAAATTTGAGTCGTTTTATTCATGATATTCTTGATAGCCAGCCGGCAGACCGGTCTGGTTTGAGGACCCAGTCATCCTCACTACTCCACTTCGGGTACGTCTGTGGTCTTCTGGGCCTGGTTCATAGATGCATAAAAAGATGCATCCGTGCCCAGGGCACATCATCACCATAATCCGTCCCTGAAACTTAAGTCAGGTGGGTAGGGCAAAAATCTACCACAATCCCCACAGACCTTATTTCAAGCATTCAAACAAAACCCATTAAAAACACTTTGGCTGTGTCCGAAATCACCCCTTATTACCTATATATCCTTGAACAGGGCATTTTGAGGGGACAACCTATTGTAAACATACTGTAAATGAAGCGGTTACACTTTATTTTAAGGTTTTATTGTTACTGTGTAATTATATATTTAAGTATATAATTAAGTAATATTAAGTAACTACATGTACTTACTATGAGTAATATTAAGTAACTACATGTACTTACTATGAATAAATGAATGAGGCATTTATATAGCGCTTTTCATATGTACTACTGTACACCCAGAGCGCTTTACAATTATATCAGGGAATCTCTCCTCAACCACCACCAGTGTGTAGCATCCACTTGGATGATGCGATGGGTGCCACAGTACAACAGTGCCAGTGCGCTCACAGCACACCAGCTATAGGTGGAGAGAGGAGAGAGGGTACTATAGGGTTAGGGTAGGATTAGGATTTGGCTGAGGGTTAATTGCATGTAATTTACTGTTATTACTATGGCAAGTACATATTACATATGTAACAAGGACACTGTAAAATAAAGTGTTACCGATAAAGCAATAAATGTACATATCACTTCTCTGCTGTTTTTTTTTTTTACTTTCTTGTATGCAGAAAGTTATATTTTATTATTTGCATTATTATCATAACATTATCAAAAGTTTAACTTTATCGTCCAGCCCTAGAGGTCCTTTAGCTAAAATCACACATATTAATAGGAGCTCACCTGATGATGATATCGAACTGATTGAGAAGAGGTCCAAGTCCTAATCCTTTCAGTATCCCTCCATTTCCAATCACTACACATCGATGACAATCTTGCACTCCATGACTCGATTCAGAAGAGGCTGGTAGGAGGTTCAAGATTTCTTGAAGCTTATTCTTCATGTTCATGAAACCAAACGGTGGGGGATACTGGAATATTTGTTCATTCAAATGAGTGTTCTTGTCCAAAAAGGGCTGTACCACCGGTGTGGAGCTGTAATGTTCAGCTTTCATTCTCTGTCGGGCAAAAGAAGGTCTGCATTCTTTGGCCAGTATCTCTCTGACATAGGAATGGATGCGCTGAAAAGTGAAAAAGGAATACCTTAAAAGAATAGTTCACTTACAAAATTAAAATTCTGTCATCATTTACCAACCACCACTCAAGTTGTTTCTAACATGAATGTCTTTCCTCTGCTGAACACAAAAGAAGATATTTTGATGAATGTCACCTGTTCTATTGTTTGTCTAGGCAAAAGAGAGACCTCTTGTGGCTACTCATAACATAGCGTGCTGTTTACATTTATTAGTAGTCTCGCGTCATTTCATGTTTGTCGGTGAATTAAGCGACCTCATCCAAGTTTCATTCTTCGTCTTGGGGAAACTGTTAGCTATCTGCCGAGCTGTTGTAACAGGCTATGCTACACACAAAGAAGCAGGGGCAGAACATCACCAACCTTTTTACCCATCTTCATGTCCCGCAGATTACGCAATTTTACAGAGAATAAATTATTTAGGGGTTCAAGCACGAAGTGCTGAAACCCTATTGTAATTGTTAATTTTCCCATGATGCAACATTCACCAAATAAAACTGATTGGGCAGAACAAACCAGTCGTAGAGACTTGAAACTTTGGGGGCTGGTAATACTCACACCGCCTTCGACATCACCAAGGCCCGCCCGATCGGCCTGACGGGTACGAAAGTACGAAACGGCTCATAACTCCTCAACCATTAGGTGTAGGCTCAAGTGTCTTACATCGTTGGAATTCTTGGCTCAAGCCGGAAAATATGCAATTGGATTGGCTCGCCCTTCAGGCGCCAATTTTGAGTAAATTGCATTTTTTTGAAAAACCTACTTTTGCGAACTACTCCTAGGTTTCTGGTCCGATCTGAACCAAATCACTGCAGAAATATTTTCTAAAGTCTGACAGTTCAGACAGTTAAAAAACTCAAAATTTCAATTGTCGGTTGCTAAGGGCAACCAAAATGTTTTTTGATTCACAAACTTTGATCAACTCACAAACTTTGATCAAAATTTGAGTCGTTTTATTCATGATATTCTTGATAGCCAGCCGGCAGACCGGTGTGGTTTGAGGACCCCGTCATTCTCACTACTCCACTTCGGGTACGTCTGCGGTCTTCTGGGCCTGGTTCGTAGATGCATAAAAAGCTTCCCAACCGGTCCAGACCAGACAGTACCATCAGACTCGGCTATGCAATTCATTATCAGGCCATCCTTAAAAATATTTTGGTTTGCAGTAACAGCAATTTTTTTTAAAAAAGGGGTCGGTAGGTAGGTCTATATATATTTTTTCAAGATTCAGTGTAAAAAAAAAAGTACAATTTTGGTCATTGTGATCGTGAATTTTTAAAAAAAAAAAAAAAAAGCATATTGTGACGTCACTGACTGGGTCTTCAAACTGTGCATCCACCGCTAGTGTTAATTTTAGGCCAGTCACAAAATGTATAAAATATCTATTTGTTGTGCATATATACATGAGATAGGCAAAAACAAGTACAAACACATGGTCAAACAAAGAATACAATTAAACAAAGAAACAAATTAACCTATATACACAGTGCTTTAATTTCAGGAAGGTCTAAAATTAGCTACTTTTCAGTTAAGTCTGTTGCTCTGTCTGAAAAGAAATTTAATGTATTAATCAAATGTAAAATGACACTGCATAGTTTATCATAGTTAAATTAATGCTTATTAAAGTTTAAGATATTCATTCAAGAGCTGTGAGTGATTTTTATCAGCCTTTTGTTGTTTGATTCGCATTACTGGCTCAATCGTCACGTTTATTAGACTACTGCCCCTTTAAGACCGAATGCAGAACTCTACTGTAATAGATGCACCATCATTTTCTCCCAACTATTTACGTCCAATTAAGACATAAACTGTGTTTAAATTAATTTCAGAGCAGGTCATTTTATATTTTATGCATATTTGATAGTTTAGATGCGCACATGAAGCCCAAAATGAGGCTATAGCCTACTTTTCTTGTCTCGTTCGTTTTAGTGCATTTCAGAGCGCGCGTCGCGCGTCGTGAACAGCGTCTCTTGCGCAGACTTTTGTGCTTTTAATAGCTCTTTTAATGATTGAACGCGTCCGCAGTTTAGCAACAGTACAGAGTGCACCGATCGTGCTGATTCTGACGGTACGTTTGGGTTTTAGGAAGAAATGACAGCGCAACGCTGTGAAGGGAAGGAAGTTGCGCTAGACAGAATGCGTATGTAATGGTTTCATCTCAAATATCATCTTTTTATAATCTTTGAAAGCGGAAATCTAAAATACAATTAGAATAATATCCCAGATCTAAAGTGTAGGTAACCACGTTCTGTTCTCATTGTCACTCATTAAGCAGGGCTGTCGTGCTGCGCGCGCTGTGGCTCCGAGTGAGAGATCGCTCTCTCTTCTGGACTGCGAATAGCAAAATGCATCACAGACAAATTGCTTAATATTATTATTATTATATATATAAATGGTTGATATTCAGCCCCGTTGCCCTTTTAATACCGGGTACCAAGCGGGAACACTGAATGAAACGAGCAAACGTACAAGCCATAGTGTGACACGCGTAACGTTAAACCAATGGTGTAAACATAATCGGATGACTATGACGCCACGGGTTTTTATTTAAAAGAAAGAACGTAGCCTACGTTTGTAGGCTATGTAGACACAAGCATCTTTCACAATACTAACTAAAATATAATTAATATTATTTTATTGAATTTGAATTAGTAGTTTGAAGAGTTAAAAAAAAAATCGGTCGGTCTGAACGCAGGTTACAACCGGCAAGTCGGTCGGACTAAAAGGAAAAAAAAATAAAAAATTGGGTCGGCCCTAAATTGACAGGGTCGGTCGGGTTACGGCAAACAAGAATATTTTTAAGGGTGGCCTCACCCAGCGCCTGCTCGAGTGTAGTGATATTCATCACATCTAGTGTTGAGCAGTGCTCCTGTCTTGTGCGCACGCCACTGTACTGGCAAAGGATGCGATAAAGCCGCTCCTTTCAGCCGATATGAAGACTAATTTCTATAAACTCGTACCTAGTATGTGGTGGGTCGTGACCATCTTGGACCTGTGTCACAACTGAACACCCCAGCCTGCCGCAAGACCCTCAGCCTGTGATCAGATCTTTCGTTTCTCCAAGCCAACTGCTCCTAGAACTAAGTCCACAAATACTGCCTGAGGTGTCATGTACAAAGGGCATGCTTTAACGCTGGCCGGGGCAACCCCCAACTGCATTGGCATTCATTGCCTCAAGTTGTTGCAGTTCACCTCATTTAGACCCACGGCTGCTCAGCAAGCTGGTACTGGTCTGAAAAGACAGCATCGCGATGTAGCGCTAAGCTTCCCTCGCAACGAAAGCAACGACATGTACAGTTTCTTCAGCCCAGCTCATTAACTCTAATATGACCACGCCCACACGCGCAAGAGCTGTTCAAATTCAAATGATCCACGTGAAGGAACGCAGAACTTTTACCGCCCTCATCACCTCTAAACAAATCACCTTGGAGAATTCTAAGAACACGATTTTATTATGAGAATGATTTTTAAGGTAAGACTAGACATGTGCCGGTATTCGGTAATTCGATAAATCGCGGTAATGAATATGCACGATATTGTTATCGTGGGCTCTTCAAAATACCGTGAAAAATAATAGATTCGAATTTAGACTTTTAGAGCACGCATTAGCTTATTTTTCATCAACTGCTCAAACACTGCGTATATGCTGCGCAAAACACGCGCGCACTCTGATGTAAACCCACATGTATAAGCACTGTGTGCATGAGGCAGTGCGCACTAGTCTAATGTAAACAATCCTCACATGGAGTAGAAGCATGGCTGAACGCTCCCGACGATTTATCCCCGCAGGGCTGCCAACTCACACATTCAGCTTGAGACTCAAGCTAGAGACTTTCAGACAGGACGCGGAATACGCGCGCGACACGCAGGGATGTTTTGTTGCTGCATCGACCAACACACGCCGGGGTTAAAGTTCAAAATAGTTCAACTTTTTATTTGTAAAATGGCAAATCACGTTGTATCTGAAGGGCAATGTTGAACCAAGAGGCCAGCGTCACGCATTCCGCGTCCTGTCTGAAAGGCGCTTAAAACATTTGACACTTTTCATACAGAAAAATCACAGAGAAAAGAGGACACTGACACCGACAGACTAGACAGAGCAGGTTACTTTTGATATGAAAGTTGTTATTGATAAATCAGCTCTTAGGTTCTGATCACAGATCATTGCTCCTCAGTTCAAGTAAACTGATCATATTACTTTAGTTTTTATTTAAAGACACAGTACAACTTACCGAAAGGTATATTTACTTATACATAATAACGATCAATCAGTGTTTTCAAACACGGAAAGAGGTCAGTAACACTGCAGGAGAACAGTTGTGTCACAAAACGTTACATTTACCCCAGGAAAGCCATTTAATGACCAGCACATTAGTTGACAAGAAAAAATAGCAAGGAGCATTTTGCTAAATATTATATTTAATTTCTCTCTGTATGTTTACAGCATTATGTGAGAGATTTTTTTCTTGAGAAACATTAACAGACTGGGGCCTACCTAATATTTATCCAAATGAGTCAATATTGAATTAAGACTGAAATCAAATCCAAGAATTTAATTGAATAATACAAACAGTAACCTACCAGTCATTGTACCATGTAAACATTGTAACATGTTGTCACTAAACTTTAAACAATTCGGTTTAGTTACCATATGTTTTGAAAATCACAATTAACCATTGTGATTTAAAGGTGCCATATAACATCATAAATCAAATCCTACTCCATATTCCATAACAGATGGGGGCAGTATACCTCCAAAAAATGACTTGTGCTCCTACCATCGCGCATGTTATTCAAATCATTTGACATGATAGTAAAAGGTTGGAAGACCGCAGTTTCACGTGGAACATTTGGAGATTTTTAGAGATCAGAGACTCAATGAACTAAACACTAGAGTGAACTAAATTAAACACTATGAATCTCAACACTAAATGATGAAGACCGCCTCATAGATCTCAAAAACAAGCTGGTGCATTTCGACGGTATGGG